ATGAATGTTGTAGAAAACTTTCTGGTGTAAGAATCCATTAACACCACCACATACAGTCATGTCAGCTTCATTTGTACGGAGACATTGCACAGCCATATGTAAAGTTTCTCAAGAAGATGAACAAGCAGCATCTGATGATACATTTGGATCATGTAAATTAAAATGGTATAATAAACTATTAGGTCTATAAAATCTTGATTCGATGTTCAGGTCTCATACGAGCTGCTGCAATTGCATGATCTGTCGAAAATTATCCAGTATGCACTGATGTTTTTGTACCTGACATTTTTTCAACACTGTATCCATCACCATCAAGTAAATCAACAAATTTTAATATAAGTAATCGATGACATGGATCAATACCGGCTGGTTCAGCATCTGACAAAACCAAAAAAATTTGGTTTAGATTTATCTCATTGTTGATTTGACATAAAATAACCAGCACGAAGAAGTTTTTGACGAAGTTGTCCATCATTATCCATATTAAGCATATGAGCAGCAAATGATTCAAGATCAAATCGATCAATTGGTGTTGTACTACCAACATCACGACTTTCTTTTAATGCATCCCATAAATCATTTGGTGAATGAATATCACCTGCAAACTCGCATGACATACCTATTAAAGCTATTGGTTCTAACGATATACTATTATTATTTATAGTTGCCATTAGTATTCTTGATTAAATATTTTTTTTTCTGGATTAAAAGAATAGAGTTTTATATCTAAAATAAAATCTAAGATTAATTTAATTTTTAATTGAAAATAGTGTTAGTTCTATACAAATATGACTATAATTTAATGAGATTATGAATTTTGTTTTGTTTTTTATTAGAAAATATTAGAATTATTTTTGTTATTTGATAAATCAAATATAATTTATAAATCTCTTCACATTGGACTTCTATTGTATTTTGTAAATTAGAAAAGTTTATAGATGAATTTCTAATCTGATTAATATTTTTCATACTATAGTTAATGTTTGATTATTAGTGTACATGCACAAAAAGTCTTTAAAAATTTATAAGTTTCGTAGATTTGTGAAATTGTCGGATAGCTAGCTATATAAGTACTTATGAGAGTAATCTAGAATATGAAATTGGTTGTAAGTTTTTAGATGATTATAATATTGTTAAGTTTAATAAAAATTTCTATGATTTTTTTTGTAAACTATATATGATTTGTTAGAAGTAAAACAAACGTAATAGAACTGAGTTATCACATATTTATAATTTCTACTCTCAAAAATTATTTTATATTAACAATGCCTATTGATAGTAAATATATGTACAACATAAAGTAAAGTGGATACATAAACTAAGCTTTAATTAGATAATAAGAACTAAGGAATTAACTTATTTATTTAGCTAGCTGTTGAAATTATCTATTTTGTCTTAAGTTTGAATAAGATGGTCTTGTATTCTACGAAGAAGTTTATATATAAAACGAATACACCATAATAAATGAGATACAAAAGTGAGCCATTTATTATGAGACATCCATTATATATACATATAGGCATACGAGCGCTTGAATATATACGATTTTTTTAAAAGCAACTTTTTAATCGCGGTCAAGGTCACCTCACCTCTGTATATTTTATCAAAAAAGGATCATGACTATAATATCATATCGAGTCATAATTTTTTATTAACATATTTTTCAGGTAGTTTAATTCAAAGATTATTTTATATAAAAACATTAATATATATTTTCTATATAATTTCTTAAAATTTTAATCTCACTTTTTTTTAAATTAAAGCTCATTACATTAAATATGGATATAGTGCTCAAGTTTAATCAACTCTTTCGATGTTTTTTCTCGCAATAATTTTAATTGCACTTTTATGAAAAATTTATTTCCTTAATCTTAATAAAAGTAAAATATTTATTTTTATTTCTTTCACAATAATTTCATAAAATTCTACAAAATCTTAATCAAATTAAAATATATAAGAAAAGAAATTTTTTTAAAATTAATTATTAGAATAATTTTCTAACGTTAATCTATTGAAAATATAGATATTTTAAATTCTAAGTGATTTCTTTTGTATTGATATTCTATGTAATATATATATGTTGTAGTCAAAATTAAAATATTTTTTTTATAGGTCAGGTGCAGGAAATTCAAAATCACACTGAAATTTATTTTTCGTTTTTTTTGCACTTAGTTTAGTAGATGGAAGTTCAATGATTATAAAAAAAATATTCTTAAAATTTTAAAAATTCATGATGGCGTAGTACGTCATTTTTTACAAAAAATTGATAAATTTTGGACATGATGCCATATTTTATTTTTTTCAGGTTTCTCACTGCTTCAAACCAATTTTTTCGTAATCCTCATGCAAAAGTGACTACAAAAAGTTATTTTTTGACACTGTTCGAATACGACATTAACAAAAAAAAATTTTTTGACCACAAGGGTCACTAATGAACAACGATCTCTTGCCTTGCAAACCTATCTAGTTTTTTTGAGTACAAATTAGAACCTTTATTTTTATGCCATTTGATTCGCGTCACTTAGAGCTATAAAAATATGTTGAGACTTTTTAAAAATTTGACTTCATTATTGAGAAAATCGAATTTTCCTACAACAATGATA